GTACGCTTGGGATTTTGCTCAGCTGCCATCCTGATCAGGGGAAGATGCAGAAAACCAAGTGCCGTGAGACCTGCAATGTAATTGTCGGGGCTGGCAACAGCAGGGAGATGAAAGAGGCAAGTTAGACCAGTAAAAGTGCAACGATGAGCGCTCTCAGCTGTCTGCTTATTACAAATAGATGAAATGTCCCAATGGGACGAGGTTCAGAGAAGCAGTTTCTCAACACTTTGAAGGATGGCCCTGCAGGGCAGCCGGTTCTGGCTCCTGCAGGAGAAGAGGCTCTTCTTGGCTGACCTCTGAGCGGGTCTTCTGTGTGGCCAGGGCTCCCCAGTTGCTGCGGGATGAGGGACCTGATGATCTCCCACATGAACATGCTGAAATGGGACAGGCTTGCTTGGGTGCGAACACGCTGGGACCTCCCTGCCTCCCCGAAAAAGCGAGGTTGCTCCTTACTTTGTATTCCATAGCATATAAGCAACCCAGAAGAAATGCAGCCCTGTCAACACTTTCCTAGTGATACGAGCTTATTTTTTTTCCCTGCCTTCCCTGCTGCATTATTCACGACCGTAAAATATTCACCAGTCTCCCCTCTCCCCCCCACACTGCAAAACAAACCCCCAAACAATAATTCAAGCCCTTTTCCTTCCCATGTCTTGCAAAAGGCCTAGGAAATAAATTTCTTGCCTTGGGTTGTTTTTATAGTCAACTTTCGTAGCTAGATTTAATCATGGAGGCAAATTTCACACTGCCTTGAAATGGACCCATAAACTTAGCTCAGCATCAAATTCCTCCTTCCCCAGCCTGCCCTGACAGCTCTGCTCTGCCGTGTCCCCAGCTTCACGGGGCTCCGAGGAGGAAAGCTTCGCCACCGGCCAAACCACATTTACAGTGTTTTTCCACAAGAAAGGCCAAAGCTGTACAGATCGTGCTAGCGCTGTACGAGCTCCGCGTTGCCACCCGGCAAGGGTCGAATCCTGCCTGAGTCATCCTTCATCTGGCAGGGAGTCCCCGGCAAGCCAGGGCATTGCTCTCAGGGGTAGAAGCGGTGCTGGGGAGGCAGGGGGATGCAGCGAGCATCCACTTGGCCACGGTATGGGTTTTGTTCGCTTTGAGTGCGGGCAAGTCCATGCAATGGGAAGGAGGGAAGGTGGAAACCCAAAGTCCTGGATGTTTGCCTGCAATTGCATGGTCAGTCCCGGGGGACACTTATCCAGTGGTGTTTTATTGCGTGGGAGATGACCATACGGCACCGCAGCACCCTCTGGTTCTGACCTGGGTTGAAGGTGCTTTCCTCCTGTCCCGGGAGAGCTCAACCAGCACCACAGATGGGGAAGGAGCCCACCAAGAGGAGGGAGATTGCTGCAGTGATTTGGGTCTCACAGCAGCCTGCTCCTTTTCCTGGTTCCTGCTGTTTCCCCATCTGGGCACTCATGGGATTGGGTCTTCCACCCTCACCAGAGAGCAGAGCTGCCATCACCATCTTTTCAGAGGGGCTGCTCAACTGCTAGGTTTTGCTCACGTTCAACTCCAGGTGGATGGGATGGTGCAAAGAGAAGGTCCAACATGGGCTTGGAGAGGTGGTTCAACCCAGGCAGCAGTGTAGCTATGCTCTTGGAGCATGGACACGTCTGATGAATGCAGCTGTGGTGAAATCAGCCGCTGAGCCAGGGACATTAGTTATCGCTGGAGAAGAAGGGCACCTGTAGGACACGTTTCATCCTTTCCCAAGTTGAGCGTAGATGGGGGTGCCTGAATTGCCCCAGCAAGGGGCAATCAGAAAGAGCCTGTGGTATCTCACTGTGGTACACACCATGAGAGATGAGTCTTCCTCCATCTCGCAGACCCCAGATGAACCTTTCCAACCCATGGTGAGGTCATCTGGCCGCCTTCTTCTTTAGGCATGGGTACCTGGTTCCTGGGGGCTTTCTCCTCTGGATGACTAACAACCTTTCTGCAGTGCAGGACTCAACCAATATGTGGGAAAGGGAAGAATCACCATAAGCTCTTTCCATTAGCAGTTTTAATTTAAAATGACTTATTATCTGGGAAAACATGCCCCCATCCCCTTGGATAAACATACATTTTAATACATTGCAATGAGCAGAGGGGGAGAGATGGAAGTTTCCATTGACTTTATTTTATTTTTCTAGATTATAAAATATTTAAAATGCATAAATAAAATGCTCCATTGCAAAAATGCTGGCGTGTTTTTCCAAAGCAAGGCGGGGAATGGAGCTAAATTGAAATATAACCGTCCAGGGTGATCTCTTAAAGTGAAACCAGTTTCAATGGGATTTAAGTGCCCACAGTCTCCATGCTTGAGTATTTATGTTCTTATGGAGTGTGACACATTCTTTCCCCCCCCCCCCCCCAAATATTGCACGATATAATGAATCAGAGTCTTGTAGCCACCGCAGTGAATTTATGGTGCTACGTATGTGTCATGAATAATGCTGAAGTTTCCTGGTTTTAATTAAATCTGTTCCGTTTATGATACTGCCATGTTGCAAGAGTGCGGCAGGAGGCATTGCCCACAGGACACACCTCTGAGCCTGGGCTGTCAGTAGACACCCGTCGTGACTCTGCCTCCTCTTTGCAAGCGTTGGCTGGAGCCAGAAATAACAAGACCTCCGCTCTGTGTGCGTCTCTGTCTCTCTCCTTCTGTCCCAACACTTCTTGGTCCTAACTCTCAGGCATCTTGTGGCATCCCAAAAGCAGTATTAGATCCCTGTTGGGAAATATTACTGGCTGCAACCACATAAATAGCAAATTTTGTGGCATGGGCACATATCCACCATATATTATAATGATGTGGCCGCAAGCTCATTGTCACAGTAATGGGATTCAAACCTTCCTTGTTAGAGAAGTCTAATTTAAATGTTCCCCTTCACTGGCTTTTTGGGGAGTGTTGGTCTGACTATACTGAAGGCAGACCATCTGCCTTGCTTATCCACTGTAGTAACTGGGCCGCTGCAGCTGCAAACTTCTCATGGGTGAGTGTTTTGTAAATCATCTCCTCTCCAGAAAGCAGAAATTGCTGCCTCATTCTACTGCTGAGCTCCCATACGGATGCTGTCTCCCAGGCAGTGGCTATTCCTTATTACTGTGGCCGGCTTGCAGAACTGATGGATGACAGCTCCTGCACTGCACAGGAGCTTGGTAAATGGTAGTAATCACAGGGGATGCTCACGGTGTAATTTTCATTCCAGATGCTTTGCAAATAGGCTTCTGGGACTGCTGCAAAACCTTTCCACAGGTTGTCACAGCAGCTTTAGTGGCAGGGAATAGGTAAAATATTGCCCATCTGATAGAAATGCCCAGTTGCCCAAGAAGGCCAACGGCATCCTGGCCTGTATCAGAACTAGTGTGGCCAGCAGGAGCAGGGAGGTGATGGTGCCCCTGTACTCGGCCCTGGTGAGGCCGCACCTCGAATCCTGCGTTCAGTTTTGGGCCCTCACTCCAAGAAGGACATTGAGGTGCTGGAGCGTGTCCAGAGAAGGGCAACGAAGCTGGTGAAGGGCCTGGAGCACAAGTCTGATGAGGAGCGGCTGAGGGAACTGGGGCTGTTTAGCCTGGAGAAGAGGAGGCTGAGGGGAG